AAAATATTGTTAGTTTTATTTATTTAATTTATGATTTATATGAGAATAATCGTATAATTGTATATAAATTTAACATAAATACAAATATCAAAAGAAAGTACAGATAATTAATCAAATAAATCAAATATTACTGACAAAAATATTTGAAAAAATTTCAGTAAAAATTTGATACTTTAAAATGTATATAAAAATAGTACACTAATTGAATTAGTACATTAATACATTAGTACATTAATACATTAGTACATTAATAGTACATTATTAAGCAAGAATATTTGAACCAAGTACATAATTAGTGCATAAAATACATGAAATTCTAGATCACTTTGAGTACACTATTCTAACCACAATCTACATGTCACACAAACACTGGTATATCATGACTACTCAACACTTTAATATACATTTTATTTGATTAGATAAGAAAATCATATATAAATACAAACACTCACCACAAAAAGTATAATAAATGAAATAGTAAGTAACAAAAAACTATAACCTATCAAACAATTAACTATAATATGAGTTCCAATAATAATAATAATCAGTCCCTACTATTTACGCCACTGACAATACGAGGGGTAACCCTCCGTAACCGTATAGTCGTATCCCCAATGTGTCAGTACAGCGTAGCCAATGGGGACGGTATTGTCGGGGACTGGCATTTGGTAGCCTACGGATCGTATGCACGTGGAGGCGCCGGACTAGTCATGTGTGAGGCTACCGGTGTGGAGGCCAGGGGTCGTATCACACCTGCCTGTCCCGGACTATGGGATGACTCACAGATAGAGCCCTGGGCTCGTATTACTCGGTTTATAAAGCAACAAGGTAGTGTTCCGGGCATTCAACTAGCTCACGCTGGTAGAAAAGCCAGTACGGTAGTGCCCTGGGTCAATAGGGGGCAGTCCATTGATAATAAGGATGGTGGTTGGGATACGATAAGCGCCAGTCCGATAGCGTTTGGTGGGGGCCGAGAGGTGGTGTGGAAAGTGCCCAAAGAGGCCACTCATGAGGACTTGGATGTGATTAAAGCCGCGTATGTGTCCGCCTGTGGCCGGGCAGTAAAGGCTGGGTTTGAGGTATTTATCGGGTTTTAAATCGTTATATAAATTATGATTTTTATGATTATGACAATAACCTACGAATAGTACCTTTAATATTTATTTTATTTTTGTATTTAGCAGTTTTCTGAGACAGTACATCTAGAAATAAATGTTCAGTTATTTCACATACATATTACTATTAATTATTAATCTAGTTTAAATATTTAAAATGAATACTACTAGTTTCCAATTCAATTTAAGTTTTAGTTGCTATGTTATTTTACCAAGCAAAAATAAATTAAAAACATGTATTGTATTAAAAGGTAATTGAGCTGCACTTCGCACATGGATATCTGGTCAGCACATTCCTGTCCCCCATCACTAACCATAGGACAGACACATACGGCGGTTGTCTCGAGAATCGTATGCGATTGGGTCTGGAGATCGCGCACCTGTGCCGACAAGCCCTCCCCCAACACATAGTACTGGGCGTTAGGGTATCGGTCAGTGACTACACTCCTGAGGGCTGGGATGTGAGTCAGACCATTGAGTTCGCCAAACAGTTGAAACAATTGGGGATTGACTTCGTAGACTGCAGTTCCGGTGGAGTGGTAGCCAACGTGGACTACCATCAGTGCAATACCAGTGACGTGCAGAGACAGGCGGCCAGGGATGTGCACCGGGATGTGGGTATAATGACGGCAGTGGTGGGCAAAGTAGTGGACCCAATGGTGGCCGAGAAGTTGTTGAGAGAGACGGGCGCCGACCTAATAATGATCGGTAGGGCCCTCCTAAACAACCCTCACTG